TCAGGCATTGACATGGGGAATGCACTAATTAATTATGACATCAAAGACATATTTCACATGGAACCCAATAAAGATATTTGTAAGAGCTATATATAGTGGAGATCCTGTAGTAAAGCCATCTATTTGGACGCACATGATGTCATTAAAACTGAACTTAACTGCGTGTATTGCTGAGATCATAAATTTAAGGAGTACTAATTCAGACAATGATTGTGGGTTTAGATTGCCATGATATCGTGCTGTCGTGCAAATGTCTAAAGCTTTTGTGAGTCCTACGTTGGTGAATAGAAGAACCCTGATGAGTTCATTTCTCCCTGTACATTGTGCAAACCCATTTACAGGCCTGAGACCATCATGTTTGGTCCTGAAAAATGTCCAGTCAGTTTGAGATCTCCCTGGCAGGGCAAGGAATTACAAAAAGTTTGAGCAACACCTGAAATTAACTGTTTCACTTGCTACTATGCAGGAGCAACATGAGCGGCATCCGCAACTAACAAGATGCAGCCAACAAAACAGAAAGATGTTCTGCCAATCACACAAATGAGTAACATAAGAAAAACAAAATTAGTGCCAGTGTGACACTAGGTATGTAGGCGGAGTGTATCACACAATACTATCTTTTGGCTGTTTGCAATAAGCAAAGTGCTGACATATCTGGCCAGACCTGGCAAAGCTCATTACACTGTCTGACATTAGATGTAATTCAGCGAAGGGTTACACGATTTGAAATGTTAGATTAAGTTTTCTCTCAACAAATGCTGGCAGACCTGCTGAGTTTCTACAGCAATGTCTGATTTGATTTGCTAAGTAACCTTGAAATGTGTGACAAATTACATTGATGTCATTTTAGGATTGCCTGGTGGGCTCTCAGAATATGTGTTCAGAAAACTACATATACCAATACACAAGACCTTGTGCTTTGTAGACTAAAGAATATGGACACACAGTGAGTTCTGAAGAAGAGTCATACTGGACTCTAAACTTTAACTCTGTTTCTCTCTCCATGGATACTATCAGATTTGTTCAGTTTCTTCAGCACTTTGTTTTTCTTTCAGATTTCCTACATCTGCTTATTTATGTATACACACTGCACTTGCTTCAACTCAACAAAGTAGGTGATAGCCACTCTCTAATTAGTTTCTCAGAGCAATGCATTAACTAATCAGAATCCATCTGCCTGATATCAAATTTAAACAAAGCCTGGCACCTAACTGTTAGTCATCACTAACTGTTGCATTCTCCATGGCAAAGCTTCCAATCAGAGTCCATTTGCCAACCAATCTCCTCTCATAGAATGTAATGTTGTTTCCCCTTTGCGTTGGTATCTCTTGTATGTTGTCTGGACAAGGGAAGGACAAGTGCAAGACAAACACTTCAATAAACCATGCTGTTTTTTCAGCAATAATCAAGTTGTGTACTTCTAAACAAGTTGATTCCAACAAGTTGTCATAACCTACTTCTGGAATATACTGTATAAACGGTAGGTAAAAACAGATGCAATGGTAACTTTCAAAACAGAACTGGATAAAATACTAGAAGGGAGATAATTTGCTGGTCTGATGGGGGAACTGGGGCTACTTGGATTGCTCTTTAAAAGAACCAACATGATAGGCACAATAGCCTCCTTCTGCAGCATTTGGTCATCTCTTTTGTATTACATTCCTAGAGATCCACACTTCTCAACCTACTGGGAAGAGAGATGTGGGAGAGCAGTCGCATATTGCCTGGATCTTTGACTGTTTATTTGCAAATTAGTTTGCTAATTTAAGTAAATAATTCTTTAAAAATTAATTAAGGGCATATAGTCTTTGCTGATACTGCCCTCGAGAAGGTGGTAGCAAGCTGCTTTGAATTGCTTTGGTCTATTTGGGCTAGGTATACCTGCAATCTTGTTAGTTAGGGAGGGAAGCTACAGGCGAACTAACGTGGTATCAGTGTAACACAGCATCTTTTCTTTTTCTCAGGATAACTCATGGCAAGATGCTACTGAAGTAGAATGAAGAGGTGAACAGTTTTCTATCTCTGTTACCAATCCATTTATTAACGTTCACCAGTTCAGAGAAACACATTTGAAGAACGGGATAGTTTTGAACATGGTTTATCACTGGCTGAGACACGAGGGTTCGGAATAAAGCTGAGAAAAGTTAAGACGCAGGAGAAAGTCATTTTTCAGTCAGATGTAAAAGTTGGATTCAACAGTGGAAAGTGGTGGCTCTAAGGAAATCAGCTGCTGAATCCAAAGCTGCAAATGCAGATTACTGGGTGCTGCTTAAAGATAAAGATGCTGAATAAGTAACATATGCATATGAAAATGCTAAGAGGCATTTGTAGATCAGAGACAGACAGCAGAGATCACTGAACAAAAGATATCTGCATCTTCCCTCTCCACAAAGAGGAGTGAAACCAATCAGTATATTTAATGGGATGCTTTGAGATTACTTGTGGGAACATGCACAAAGAACAATAGCAGACAGCTTGTAACATATCTGGGGTCTTCAAAGTCTAACTGACATCATCTTCAGATGGTGGACTGCACATAAAAGGCATGACTTAAATTTTGTTCTCATCAGACTAATCTTTCTCTTGATGCTTGCTCAGAATAGTGGCAAGCCATAGGATCAGACTGTTCAATCGCCTGCAGTGACCAGCAGGCCTAGGGAAAAGTCTTTGGGAGGTTTAGAGCACAACCTCATTCTCAAAATACTAAACTTGGAATACTGTAGTATAGCCAAGTGCCAATAACATTACACGCTGAAGCACATGATCAGATCAGGCTGAAAACAACAGAACAGACAGGCATGAATGTAGGAACAGTGGCAAAAAATAAGTACTGTTTGTAAACATATACATACAGTAAAACCATTTTGCAACGTATGAAATTGGATGCTCTGAAGTAAATGTATTTTTCGTTTCTTTGAGTTTGAGAGGATGTTGGGAGGCCAGTTTGTAAGATAAGACACATTTACATCTATGTCTTAAGCAGGCCTCGTCAGATGGACAATATCAAGGGAGCAGTGTTGTGTGTAAGCTCTGCTGGACATATAACTCTAGTTTAAATTTTCTTCTATTTTGCAGCGTATCTGTGCACCTCTGCCATTTCCTCTTCTTATTGCTCTTGCTCTGTCTCTATTTAAAACCACTGTGACCCTTATGGAAAGGGTTTCCTGAGAAAAGGCTGGGAAGAGAAGATTTCCCTTCTAAAAATGGTGATAGGCAGCAAGAGATATTGCTAATTGTTTTACTCAACGTTCAGATTTCAAAAGGTTTGTGGAAGTACCTCCTGATTTGACAAATGATATGAGACAGTTCATCAGTTCCAGGCCTAAATTTAATCTGGTGTAATTCTGGGATAAATGTGGTCATTTTAGAAAATGCAGTTCTACTGTAATTTGCATTCAAGTCCACCACTATATGCTGGCCACATTCTCTTTTGAGAACTATTTTGCTAGAATTTAGCATGTATTCCCTGGAATTACCTACACTGTATCTAGAGTTCACCTCAAAGTCACCAATTTTGAGCCCAAAGCACGTTGGAATTTTATGTGCTCCCTTGATGAGTTTATTTTCTAGTGAGAATTAAGCATCTTATAAGATAATCACTGCAAAAATTACAGAAATGGGAAATTGTAAAGAAATATATAAACGAGCAAAACAGTTTTCATTTTATTGTTTTGCAGAATATTGGCAAGGGCAACATTTATTGCCCATCTCTCATTGCCACTAAGAAGAGTTTCTTGAACTACTGCGGTTGGTTTGTAGTTATAACAAAATAAAGAGAATTATTATTGAGTCAATGTTCATTCTATTTACCAGCTGTTAGGTATGCTTGCAACAATACTGGCATCACCTACATCAAGACTTGTTTATTTTTGGACTGATGAAATGACCTGGAAGTTAAGATGCATGAAACATATAAGATCCTGAGGGATCTTGACAGCGTGTGTGTGAAAAGGATGCATCCTCTTATGGAAGATTCTACAACTAGAGGGTCGTGGTTTAAAAATAGGTCATATATTTAAGACAGAGATGACAAGTAATACTTTCTCACAGAGGTTGTGGGTTCTTGGGATTTCCTTCCTTGGAACGAGCTGAAACAGAGTCTTTGAATCTATTTAAGGCAGAGGGGGATAGATTGTTTATAAACAAGGGGGTGAAAAGTTATTGGGAGAAGACAGAAATGTAGACAAAACAGATTAACCATGATCTTATTGAAAGTCAGAACAATTTCCAAGGCTGAGTAACTACTGCTGCTCCTAATTCATATGTTCACATATACAACGCAAACCACTGTCAGCACATCTGCTGATGGATTCAACGAAATTCAGACAAGAGTAATTTACACGCTATCTCCTTCGATGACTTCTCAAGTGAGAGACTCATTAATTCTATGTTCTGATAATTTGCAATTAAATGTAATCTTGGTTCAGTAGGATATTGTTCAGTTTTTATTAATACTGTCAGATTTCTCATGAGCCTGTTCAAGGTGAGATGAGGCTACATTGTTGCAAAGAAGTGTGGAAGGTGCATATTTCTGCTGAAATGCTTTGAATACAAGTTTGTTCAAGTGTGCACAAAGACAACTGAAATAAGAGTCTGTTGATTGTTGATGGAAAATGAAGCTTTTCACCTGTCACAGATAAAGAAAGAAATTTGCTTTGCTCACAAACTACAGTTAACCCACATACTGAAAATTTATGTAAGTAACATGAACAAAATGACTGTTTTGGCTGAACAGTAGCATAGAAGCATGCACCTAACATAGGTTTCAGCTTGCTCAAAACCTATCTACTTGCATAGAGATAAAGCTGGGCTCACATTGTTTACAAAGTGTGCAGAAGCATGTTTTCAATGAGTTAAAGTTTCTGAGCAGTTGTAAAAATAAGATGACTTATAGACACTAGATACCTAAATTGGCCCTATAATTTGGGAGTAATGAAAAAAATCCTTGCATTCCTTAGAAAGGCAAGACAAAAAGTGGAGGTAATCTGGTCTTTGACAGTATATATGATTGCTTGAACAAATATGAATTCTAAACCAAAATGAATATTTGTGCATCTATACGAACACTTGCATTGCTTTCCAATCACAACTTAGAAAAGAAATACAAAAGGTCTGGTTTGATTCTGATACTTGTTCATCATCGATCTGTGAGGGGCTTAAAGGATTAAGCCCACATACAATTGGTTTGTGGCCTGATTATCGAAGGATGCTAGAAATATTTTTGCAGTGGGTCACATTGGGATTGCTATCTTGAATCACTTGAAATGAAATGAAATGAAATGAAATGAAAGCAAACAAGAGCAGTTGAAAAAAAGGAAGCAACATTATTTTCCGATCCCTTGCAATGGACATATGATCAAGAATTCAGCACTATGGCTAAGGCTCTATTTTTGTATCCCCACAATGTTTAATGAAGCGCCACTGCTGCTTTTATGTATATATTCGAAAAATTTAAACCATGCATACTTATCCATTTTCTTCTGCACCAAATCCAGGAATTCATTGCAGTACACAATATTGTCTGGTAAGCCCACGTTGAAAGAGTGATCTTTAGCCATGTGGTTAAACAGAACAGCCCTGAATAAATGGATACAAAATAAAACAAAAAATATTATTTTTCATTCAGATCCTTACTTAAACTTTCACTTTTATGACATCAATCTGTATCAACATAGGCTCATTTTTTTCCCCATACATTTCTTTGCTCTTGATACAAAAACAGAAATCCCTGGAAAATCTCAGCAGGTCGGGCAGCATCTGTGCAGAGAAATCAGAGTTAATATTTCGGGTCCAGTGACCCTCCCTCAGAATGGGTCCAAGTTCTGAGGAAGGGTCATCTAACCCGAAATGTTAACTCTGATTTGTCGCCACAGATGTTGCCAGACCTGCTGAATTTTTCCAGCAATTTCTGATTTTGTTTCCGATTTCCAGCATCTGCAGTTCTTTTGTTTTACTTAGTAGTTTTAGTCAATGGTTATTTGCTCTGGTGTTCCACTCTCAAGAACAAGATGAGGAATCGGGATTGAAGTTGACTTCAGTTGTAGTGGGAAATGAATGTGCCCTCTTGGTTGGCACTATTCTAAATCACACAATAGCCAACTGAGGTAACCAGTATCTCCCCTACCCAAGTGTAATACATGAAAAAAAATAGTTTTGTGCTTTGAAATTCTCCGTAATTAGTGAAATATGGTATAAACACTGCACAACAATTGAAATGAATCACAAATGGCAAACACTTTAATGTTTTCTGATATCAGCCTTAGCAAGGGGCGGAGTTTGGTCTACCATGGGTTACTAGATTACCAGTTACAAATGGTTAAAAAACACTGGACAGCTTCATTAAAATTACTTCAATATTCGCAGCGATAAAAAAGCACAGCTGTTTCAGAAATTACGGACCTGTTTCCTGCAAATTCTTCATTACAAAACATACAGATACGAGCAAAGTTGCTGTCATTCCTTTCCTGTTGTTGCTGTTCCAAAACCTCTTCCTGTACAAAAGGAAATAAGTCAGAAAAACTGATACTGACCATGTTATATTTATCATAGAGGACAATGAGGGAATAAACAGACAAGATTAAGCAATCTGTAAAGCTACTGCTGTTTGGATGATATGCATATTTGGTTGTAATCAAATGTGTTCTGGCAGATCAAAAACAGTGCTGGAGAAACTCAGCAGGTATGGCAGCATTTGTAGAGACAGAAATAGTGTTAAAAGTTTCAAGTCCAATCATCCTTCGTCATAACTCGTTGTTGCTGGGAAAGGGTGGCATTTATGCCGATAATGGGATGGGGTGGGGTGGAGGGAATGATGAGAATACATACAAATGGTCACCAAAGTGAGGGTGGGAGGGCGGGAGGACGAGGGAGAGGGCGAGGGAGAGATTGCTGAAACAGTTAGATGCTGAGAAGGGTGCTAACGAGAAGTATAAATGGATCAGCTGTGTGCTGGGAGCGACTCATAGGAAATGGGACCTAGGGGTGTTGGGTAGGATAATAAACACAGATGATGACTTTCACATTCTAAAATTGTTAAACTCCAGGTTACGTATTGAAGGCTAAGGTACTTCAGCAGAAGATGAGGTGTTGTTTCTCCAACTTGCAAGAAGCCTCGCTGGGGCACTGCAGCAGGCTCCATGCGAAGCAGTGACTTACCTGCACTACACAATCTAGTCTACTCTATTTGCTGTTCGCAATGCGGTCTCCTGTACACTTGGGAGATTAAATGCAGTCTGCGTCACAGCTTTAACAAACATCTATGCTCTGTCCATAAAAGTAACCCTGGGCTTCCAGGTGCCTGTCACTTAAACACTCCACTGTGTTCCCATGGCAATATTTCTGCCTCAGGTCTGCTAGCGTGCTCCAACGAGGTTCAATGCAAGCTGTAAGAACAGTACCCTATTGCTTGCACCCAAAGTCTAAACATCTCAAGCAATTAGATCCACAGGTCAGGATAGCTATAGCATCATGATGCACATTTTCTGTTATACATCTCGTCTTCAACAATCTGGACAGTGAAGATTTGTGCTAATGTTACCAAGTGTCAGCTCGTTTCAATTGAGAAGACAAAGGCTGAAGTCAGAACGTGATGATTTCAGTCTCATTGTTCTTGACCAGATATTTTACACTGCTGATCAGAGCAGTCTTGACAGAGTACTGGCATATCTATGTATTATTCAATGAGACATAAAATGAAGCCTTTTCTGCTTCCTGGATGATCATAAAAGACTCCCAGGTACTATTTGAGAAATAGGGAAATTGCGTGCGTTTTGGCCAACATTTGTCCCACCAAAAATAAATGCTGTGGTCAGTTATTTGCTGGTTGTTTAACATTTTGTTTTTTTTCTGAATTCTTATGTTTACCTGTATGACAATAGTTACAAGTAAGGTACTGCTTGTGCAGTGGTTTGAGGTAACCTGAAGTTGTGACAAGGTTCGACGTGGATGAAAGATCTTTCTTTTATTTTCCATAATATTTGAAAGGTTCCAGAAATATAACACAAAAATCAAAAATTGACTTACGTTTTTATGTCTCCTTTTTTTTTAAGCATTGATATGAGCAAACAGAAATTAGTTCATAGGCTTCAGTCCAAAAACTACTGGATAACAGGAAATTCCTGTTATTTTAAGCCAGGCAAAAACAATTTTTTTTCTGATAAACTTGACATTTGAACATCTGTAATATATTTTCACAGGAATGAAAGTTATTAATTGTTTTCTTTTAAAAGATGGCATAAATACGCTGTTTATATGTAAATGTTGTCTTAACTTTCCTAATTATGTTTTGAACTGTAATCGTATACATCTGTGCTACTTATTGGAATAGAAATGTTATTGTGAAAAAAGAATACACCATTACATTTTTGCATCTGGCACACATTTCTAAACACAGCTTAAGATCTGAGTCATGCCTAATTTACAGAATTTGTACTGCGCAACAGAAGGCCATTAGGCCCATTGTTTTTGCACCTGCTCTATGAAAGAAATTCACCTCATGAGATTCTCCCACTTCTCCCAATAATGCTGCACATTCTTTCTTTGTTGTCAACTGTCTAACTCTCTCTTGAAAGTCTCAATTGAACTAGACTCTATCAGACTCTCAGGCAGTACATCACAAATCCAAGCCAATTGTTATGCAAAAAGCTTTTTCTCACATTACTTATGCATCTTAAACTTAAAATGTGTGCCATCTCATAGTTAATGTTTTCATGATAATTTCTCCCATCTATTCTGTCCAGTCACGATTTTAATGTCTGAGACTAATTCTGTGGATAAGCACTTGCTCTGTTTTGTCCATCAAGTAGTTTTACTTATCAACAAAGAAAAGCTAAGTAATGTGTAGTGGAACTGAACAGAGAACAATCAAAAGAACAGAACAGCTATTTGCATCGCATCTTTCAAATTCTTAAGCATTCCAAAAGTACTAACCAGTCAATCATTTACTTTTGAAGTCTAATTTTATTAGCTTATAGACTAATTCGTGCATAGGAGAGGAGCACGAACAAAGAGATAAATTCAATCAATGAAAATACTAAGTTCTTCCTGGAATAACATGCAGCAGGTCCTTAATTAATGAATATCTGACTTACAAATGTTCATATTATGAATGCAATCCCATATAAGGGTGTAATGTTAAAGACCTGACAAACGAACATTTCCGGTACTTATGAAGAGCTGCTTCACATTGTCCTGCAACAAGGTGCAGGGCTGGATGAACACAGCAGGCCAAGCAGCATCATAGGAGCAGAGAGGCTGACGTTTCGGGCCTAGACCCTTCATCAGAAAAGGGGGAGGGGAAGGGGGTTTTGAAATAAA